AGACCTCCGGGTAAACATTGTGTGAAACCCTGTCTTCTTACTAAAAAGGTACAAAAAATTTAAGGGCTGCGCCGTGCGGTGCGTCCCTGTAGTTCCAGCTACGTCGGGAGGCTTAAGACAAGGGAGAACAGCTTTGAACCTGGAGGTTCAGAGGTTGCAAGTGGCCAGATTGCCACCATTACACTCCAGCCTGGTGGGTGGACAGGATTCTGTCTCACACACAACACCACACAAAAGACCCTGAAATACTGACAACATGCTACGAAAAATGGATTGAACCTTATGAAAAAACAACACTTTAGCTAGGAATTATGTTGGGGTTCCTTTTCAAGTTATCCAGCCGACGCCACCATTAAGAAATGAGACCACATTCACACCTTCTTCCACTTCTGGTGTTTGCTCTTGAAACTGGGTTGGGTATTGTCCAGAGAGTACACTTAAATTAACCTTAAAACAATGCCAAAACTAGGCACTATAAACCCACACCTTAGAGTTTTTATAATGTATAGCATCCCACTAATCAGTCATTCTGTAAACCAATGAGAATCCCTGGATGTGAAAAAAAAAAAAAAAAAAAAATTCAGGGCAACTTAAATCTATGTCCAGGATGTAATCCTCAAGCTTGGCCCACATAAACTACTCTGTATTTATATTAAATTTGTCTTAGCATCTTCCTTTTAGGTAGGTACTTGAAATTTGAAAATATGCTGAATGAAAAAGGCCAGACACAAAGGCAAAATACTGTATTATTTCAGTCTTACGGGGTGCTACCGTTGTCAAAATCATAGGAACAGAAAGTAGAATGTGTTTATCAAGGGTGGGGGAGCAGGGAATAGGGACTTTAATGCGTACAGAGTTTGTTTGGGATAATAAAAAAAAAAAGTAAAAAAAAAGTTAAAAAAAAGTGAGATGGGGCTGGGCACAGTGGCTTGTGCCTGTAATCCCAGCACTTTGGGAGGCCGAAGTGTGCAGACCACTTGGAGTCAGGAGTTTGAGACCAGCCTGGTCAACATGGTGAAACCCCCCGTCTGTACCAAAAATACAAAAATTAGCCAGGTATGGTGGTGGGTGCCTGTAATCCCAGCTACTTAGAAGACTGAGGCAGGAGAATCGGTTGAACCCAGGAGGCGGAGGTTGCAATGAGCCAAGATCATGCCACTGCACTTCAACCTGGGGAACAGTGAGACTCCTCAAAAAAAAAAAAAAAAAAAAAAAAAGTTGGGGCCAGGCACGGTGGTTCATGCCTGTAATCCCAGCACTTTGGGAGGCCAAGGCAGGTGGATCCAGCTACTCGGGAGGCTAAGACAAGAGAACAGCTTGAACCCGGGAGTCAGAGGTTGCAGTGAGCCAAGATTGCACCATTACACTCCAGCCTGGGTGACAGGGATTCTGTCTCACACACACACACACAAAAGACCTGAAATACTGACACATGCTACAAAATGGATGAACCTTATGAAAAAACAACACTTAGCTAGGGAATATGGTTCCTTTTCAATTATCCAGCCGAGAAACATAGAATGAGACCACAATCACACTCTGTCCACTTTGTGTTTGTCTCTTGAAACTGGTTGGTATTGCCAGAAGTAACTATAAATTAACCTAACAATGCCAAACTAGGCACTATAACCCACACCTTAGAGTTTAATAATGTATAGCCAATCACTAATCAGTCATTTCTGTAAACCAATGAGAATTCCTGATTAACTTTATATCAGTTTGCTTCCTGTCCCCGCTTTTTGCCTTTAAAAATCCACTTGTAGTCTGGGCGCGGTGGCTCACGCCTGTAATCCCAGCACTTTGGGAGACCGAGGCGGGCGGATCACAAAGTCAGGAGATCAAGACCATCCTGGCTAACACCGTGAAACCCCGTCACAAAAATGGCGTGAACCTGGGAGGTGGAGGTTGCAGTGAGCCGAGATCGCGCCACTGCACTCCAGCCTAGGCGACAGAGACTCCGTCTCAAAAAAAAAAAAAAAAAAAATTCACATTGTAGCGTTGGGTGCAGTGGCTCACCAACCAGTTAATCCTGCCCACTTTTGGGACACCAAGGCAGGGAGGATTGCTTGAGGCCAGAAGTTTGGGACCCAGCCTGAGCAACATAGCAAGGCCCCTATCCTCTACAAAACGATTAAAAATACAGGCCGGGCACAGTGACACATGCCTGTCATCGCAGCACTTTGGGAGGTCAAGGTGGGTGGGATCACCTGAAGGTCAGTAGACTTGGAATGAGCAGCTTGTATGGACATGGCAGATTCTCCTGTCTCTTAAAATTAAAAAAAAACATTAAAGGGCCGGGT